GGGTGAACGTCCACCTGTTTCATATGACCGAGTTTCAAGTATTCTGCCATGAATTGTGCGTATTGGGTTCTCAGCAATGAATTTCGACTTAGTCGCCTCTCTATACTCTTCAAGCGTCTCAATGCGATGTCTCTGGAAATGCCGAGGTTCCTGGGAAACGGTTCCCTTAGCGGTAGTTTTACAACATACCTGCCTTGAGGAGTTCGAGAGACATTTTCCAGGAAGTGATTTTCGCAATGATTTTCTTCCTTGTTGTATCCCGCAGATTCGCCGACGTCTTCGATTTGCCAAAACCAAGACAACTGTTCTTGAAATTGATCGTTGGAAATGGATGCGTGGAAGGAGCGTATGTTCCTTTCAGAATCCAGGCTGTTGCTCAGGCGCCCCGCTAAGATCCAACCGAATCGCGTCTTCTGCAAGGTTGGGTGACTGGGGGAGGATTTGACTTGCCCCACGCATAGTAATTCCCAGAATATTTCCGCCCCGAGGAGAATGTCGATTTTCGAAGAGACATTAAATTGCGGATCCGCCAAGTTGAGATTGTGCGGAAGGTTGTACTCTCCCCGTGGCATGGTAAATGCTGGAAGCTTGTCCGTGATCTAATCCATTACGATGCAATCCACCGCCGCCGTGTACGAGTTCAGACGAGACTGTAATTGTATCTTGACCGATTGCGTAGCCTTAGTGGCTGTGTTGCTTATACCAGAGATTGATATATTCCACGGGCGTGTCTTCAAACCTAAGGTATTCACGCATTCTCGTGAAATGAAGTTGGCTTGAGAACCGCAATCAAGTAGGACGCGGCACGGTAGCGGTGATTCGTTACAATCGAAAACGTTGACAACTGCGGTGGAAAGCATGGTATACCTCTCGCAGCTGTTGCTTGAGACGTACGTTCCTGTTGCGACCAATGATGTTGGCGTCTTCGGGTCCTTGGGCGGCTCGGGATTGTTTGTTGATGAGTCGGCTTGATGCAGCAATGTGTTGTGTTTTACCTTGCAAACCTTGCACCCCCTCGAGGTACATTTGTTTAAAGCATGAGCGGGGGAGCGCAAACAATTGACGCACAGCTTGCGTTCACGAACTGCGGTGATTCTCCGAGGTACGGACAAATCCAGGAAGTCCTTACAGTAATATACAGCGTGCTCGCCATTACAGTAATTGCACCTTTGTTTGACAGTGGCTACGCAGGAAGCCTGGCGCCTTTCGCTTGGTTGCGATCTTTTGTTGGCATCCTTCGATGGTGCGTCATTCGACTTGCCGGTCGCCTCAAGCATTTGACAACGACGGTTAATGAACTCCTCGAACTGTTTAAACGTGGGAGGATCCGATCCCCCTAGCGACGCTTGCCATTCTCGCAGTGTGAGTGTATCGAGTTTTGAACTTAATACGTGTACGATTATATCGTCCCAATGTTGCGTAGGACGTTTGAGTGCCTGAAGCGCCTGTATGTGCCGGGTGGCACCATTCGAGATTCGTCGCAGCCCAGTTGAATTTTCCTTCGTCATTGCCGGCAGTTCCATTATTGCCTTGATGTGCGTATGCACAACTATGCGCTTATTGTCATAGCGCTCCTTCAATAAATTCCATGCTACTTCGTAGTTTAGGTCTGAGATCTCTAATGAGCTTATTATATTACTTGCTTCTCCCGTTAACGAAGTTTTCAAATATTGCAATTTTTGCACCTTGCTAATTGAATGATTGGAATGAATTATTGAATTAAACGAATCGTAGAATGGAAACCATTCGTCATATTTGCCGGAGAACGATGGAAGATTCAACTTGGGCAATCGGATGCTGCTGCGACTCTCGGATCCATTGGATGGTTGTGACGCGGGGGGCGGGCTCGTCGTTGCGGAGGGCGAGCTCGTCGGTGCGCGTGGCGTCGATGCCGGACGAAGAATTTCGTGAATTCTAGCTGAAAGCGCGTAGAATGAGTCTTCGAATCCTGCGCGATCCTTAGCCTTGTTTGGATCTAACGCCTCGAGTTGCGATTGTACCTCGTGATACGCGACCCAGTAATCGTCCAGTTTCGCCTTTCGCTCTTCAAGTTGAGCAATTACCGACGGCGTTACATTAGAAACCGCGTCTACGTATGTTTTGATACGCGTGCACGAGCCCTTAATGACCGTACGTCGTACCTTGGGCGCGACAGGAATTTGTTCGGTGGCCATTTTGACCTTGCCTCGACTGTTACACTCGCGTTAAGATGACGGCGCGGAACCGCAATATAATTAGGAAAACGCGAGAATGATTGGTACCACTCTAGACAATAACAGTCACCCTTACCGGAGATGTGCGAACGGGGGCCTCGATGCTGCTGACGTGCGGCTGTCCTCGTCAGGCGATGAGACGCGCTCGAGAAAATTCCTTGGTAGGTGGCAGGATGCGTTCCAGAAGGTTCCCGTCGAGCGGCAGAATGCGTTCCGGAAATTTCCCTGGCAGGCGGCAGGATGCGTTCCAGAAGGTTCCCATCGAGCAGCAGAATGCGTTCTGGAAATTTCCTTGGTAGGCGGCAGGATGCGTTCCAGAAGGTTCCCGTCGAGCGGCAGAATGCATTCTGGTGGATGCGCTGAGTCCTGCTTGCGCCCCGAGCTTGGATATGATGCTCGAATGATTTTTGCGAGTCGTCGTCGTTGTCCGCAGATGCGTGCGAGAACAATCTGCCGATCCTGTCGGCGAGCCTCAAGCTTCAGGTTAGGTTGCACGTACCACGGTGCTTCTTGCGATCGAGCTGAAGATGCTGCTCGCTTGGTTGCGAGGTTCCCCAGTGCTTGATCTGGCGGGTGCCGAAGATCCGGCTCGAAGGACCATAAAGTTGTGGCGTAATGACACGCCGGGCATGTGCCCGTCACGCCGGTTCACCGGAAGATTTCGGGAAAGGCGTAAGCGAAGAAACTCGTATTCCTCTTAGTTGGCTTTATTTCTAGTTTTCTGACAACACCGTGGTTACTGTTCACTTCCGAAACTTAGCTTATCTCGGCCGTGCCGGTTTGGGCACGCACACACTCTCTCTTGCTAACGACGACGACTATACTACTCTACTGGCGTGCTTCGGCCGCAGGCCCCTATTTTTCCGCGCGCAAGGATACACCGCGCGCGCCAATCACGGTCCTCACGGGACGCGACCACCGACGAATGTGGACGAACGCGAACGAATCGGCGCAACCGATTTATGTACCGAACAAGCACTCATGTATCTGTATTTCATTTTCGTGTAATGTATTTGTAACGAAGCGCACAACTCTCCCCGGTTCTGGTCTCCGGACAGGACTCCGGCGGGTATCACTTATTACGCGAATAAATGCGGAACTTAGTCGGACGCGCGGTTCCGACTAACGGTTGGAAGAGTTGGCCTTCTTTCGGTCGGTTTTGACGTGCTGTGTCGGCTAAAGAATCCTCTGTTCCTCCTATGTGCCGAATATGCTCAGCTCCAGGGCCGTCTGGAGGAAAGGAGGACAAGATCTTACTTGCTTAGTGAGGTAATCGCTTGGAAGGATCGGGAATAAATCGTACAAGTATTTAATTTGGTAGAAAACGATAGGAGCGTGGTTTATTCATGGATAGGATACATGAGATCGAGGAAATTACAATAGGTCCGCCCTGTGATCGAAATATAAAAGGAAAGGAATGGATTAGTAGGTACAATAGGTCCGCCCTGTGATAAAATACAAAGAAAAACAGGATATGTTTAGACGGATTATATTACGGTACAGGAGTACGCGGCCGGATCGGAATACGGAGTACAAAAGATAATGTGGCCGGTCGGATTAATCAGGAGTGACAAATCGCCGTTCGGATTTAAGAATACCGGAATCCGATTAGAATTATCCGGAGTTGTAATAAAGGTGTACAGGAAATACACAACAATCTGGATTTTACAATACGGCACGGAATGGACGGTATTAGATCGGAATACGGAAAATAATGCGCACTGGAAACGGATAATACTACAGGATAATTTACACTGGATAATACGGATAAGATACTGGCGACAACGGAAAAGGATGTCTGTATGGAATCCTCTGGTCGGTAAAAGGAGAACAGTGACGGAATTAATTCTACGGAAGCCTACGCGCAAATTAGAATC